CTCTCTCTGCTGCTGGAGGTCCCGCTGCACACAGAGAATCTTCAGTCCGGCGGAGAGACATGAGAGACGGTGGAGACCTGCGGGGCTCAGAGCCCCCCCTCCGGGACCCCTGAGCACTTATCTGTCATCATGTTTATGAGGAGCCCGTCCCTCTGACCCGGGTCCCTCTCTTGGTGCGTCATTACGCGCAGGTCTTGGATACTTTACGCGTGGTTCCCTGCAGGATTATTGTTCAGATGGAGCCCTCCCTCCCGGTGCTGCTGGTTCTGCTTCTGTCTCTGCCTGTCTCCACGAGTCAGCACTTCTTCCTGCTGCGGCCCAGCGACCTGATGCCGGTCCTGGAGCTGCAGGAGGACCCGGACCCGGAGCTGGACCCCCGGGAGAAGGACCTGAACGAGACGGAGCTCCACAGCGCGCTGGGGAGGCACTTCGACCCGGAGATGATGTCCCTGTTTCCCCGGGAGGAGGACCAGGAGCAGGGGGTGCTGCCCAAAGAGCTCCAGGACCTGGATCAGGACCTGGACTGGAAGCAGAAGAAGAAGAAGAAGAAGAAGAAGAAGCTGCGCCGGCGGCTCCAGCTGTGGGCGCGCACCGGCTGCCCGCTCGTGCCCACATGGACCGACCTGGGCGCGCGCTTCTGGCCCCGGTACGTGCGCGTGGGCAGCTGCCGCCGACAGAGCTCGTGCTCGGTGCCGCGCGGCATGTTCTGCAGGCCCGCGCGCTCCTCCAGCCTCACGGTGCTGCGGTGGCACTGCGTCACCAGGGGGGCGGGGCTAAGGTGCGCGTGGATCCCCGTGAACTACCCCGTCATATCAGAGTGCAAGTGCGCGTGCCCCACCTGAAGAAAGACTCTGTGCCGAAACCAGACTTTTATTATTTTCTATTTTCTATGAAGAAGAGAGACTTCCTGCAGCGGGTCCACGTGGAGGGTTCAGGGCTCTCACGTCATTCGATGCTCTTAAGATGTCTCAAAGTCAAATCCCCTCATTCTAATATGACATTATTTTTATATTAATTGTTGATGAGTTCATGGTTTTATGAATTTGGTGAATTTGAACGATAAATGAAAATAATTTCAACAATATTTATTATTTTATTTAGATGCCGTAAATGGCAGGAACCTGAAGTAAAAGTTAAACACAACTAAAATATTGAGTTGAATAAAAACTGTTATTTAGTTTCTGTTAAAAGTCAATCAAAAAAACTCACTTTTATTTATTTTTTATATACTTTATAAATTTATTATTTTGACTGAAGATAATATTCTGCATAAATGATGATTTTATTTAGTATTCTAAAACAGCGCTCTGTGTGACGTCAGGTGTTAGTGATGAGGTGTGACCTCAGGTGTGTGTGTGTGTGTGTGTGTGTGTGTGTGTGTGTGTGTGTGTGTGTGTGTGTGTGTGTGTGTGTGTGTGTGTGTGTGTGTGTGTGTGTGTGTGTGTGTGTGTGTGTGTGTGTGTGTGTGTGTGTGTGTGTGTGTGTGTGTGTGTGTGTGTGTGTGTGTGTGTGTGTGTGTGTGTGTGTGTGTGTGTGTGTGTGTGTGTGTGTGTGTGTGTGTGTGTGTGTGTGTGTGTGTGTGTGTGTGTGTGTGTGTGTGTTTGCGTGTGTGTGTGTGTTTTAATCTGAAAGCTGTGAATCCAGAGTGTTCCTCACCTGTCCACCAGAGGCACCTGCTGGTGATCAACCCCAGCTTCCACCTGTAGGCTCGGGGATAGTTCTCTAATCATCACTCAATGTTCTTTGTAAATCTGTGGAGTGATGAGGCCGAGCCTAGACGCCAAATTCAAACTCTATGCTGCTTATAA